CCAGGTGGGGGTTGGGCTCTTCTCCCTGGCAATTAGCCATAGGACAAGAGGGAACGGTCTCAAGTTGCGCCAGGGGAGGTTCAGGCTGGACATTAGAAAGATCTTCTTCAGTTGTTAGGCATTGGAACGGGCTCCCCAGGGAGGTGGTGGAGTCATCGTCCCTGGAGGTGTTCAAAAAACGTTTAGATGTGGTACTTCAAGACATGGTTTAGTGGACATGGTGGCATCAGGTATACGGTTGGACTTGATGATCTTTGAGGTCTCTTCCAACCGTAATGATTCTATCATTCTATGAAAATATTCCATGGGTATTACATCTCAGCTGGCCATTTGCAACTCAGGCACCTCCTAAGCCAGAGACCGTATTTTGACGCCTACTATCTCTCAGTGGATTTTTCAGCAAGAATTTGTCTCTGCTTTTTGCTTTTATGGGGCAAGGAGTTTAGCTCTGTATTAATGAAGAACAGCTTTCTTTCGTTTCTTCTGAATCTGCCACTGGACATTCACTGTCCCTACTTCTACCAAAAAACAATAAACAATCACATCTCATTCACCTTCTCCATGCTATTTATCCTTTCACAGACATCCACTGTGTCCTCCCCTTCTCTCCACTCATCTCTTCCCAGGTGAAGTTTAAAATTAAACTTTCCTCATGCAGCACCAATTTCATACTCTTAATTGTCTTTGCTAGTCTTTGTATTACTCTGTACTACCTTTTCAAGAAGGACTAAAACTATCCATAGCACTCCAGATGACATCCTGCCCTAGAAGGAAAACAATACTTTTGGCTGTATTCTATTTCCCTAATAGTTGCCACCATTCCATTTGTTTTCAGTTTTCGTTAGCTTCACTTCTAGTAGCTAATTTTAACCAAATCTTACAGAGCAACAACAGAGCTCAAGGCTATTGCATGATAAGTTTCATCAAAGTAGATAGCTAGAAAAAGCATCCTTTTCATGCCTTGCAGCTGGAGTTGAACAATTCTGCTAGATACCATGGAATCCACCCAGGAGCTAAACTGCCCCAGTTCTAAGAACTGTTACAGGCAGAGCATGTAACTTCATAAAATCAATCCCCATTAGCTCTGCTGTTCACAAGGTTCTGAGTAGGGAAGAAAACACACATAAAGCCTTCTTTCGGCTAAGGGTTTTGAAGGCATTTCAAGACAACCATATACTCCATTGCTTCTTGTAAAGTTTAAAATTAAAAATTTGAATGCTGACAACCATTCAGTTCCTTAGGCTGGCATAGTGCCAAATCAGAGTTAGGATTTCTACTGCTTGTTCTCAAAGATCATGGTCAGAGCAAGAAGTGAGTTTTTACCCAAGACCCTCTCATCCTGGAGAAGCTCAGTAATGAAACTTAGCAATCTGCTTTGACATCATATTCCTTAACAACTCAGACTCTCTCTGAACAGGGACACCTCTTTATCCAGAAATCCACAAAATGAAACTTACAGCTAAGCCTGTTTTTCCCATCACATTCCAACTTCATCCATAACAACAACCATCTTTTATGTGGTGAAAACGCAGCTTAATTCGTTCATCCCCCTGTTCAAATCTTGTCACTTTTTCATTCTCCAAGTGTGTGTATTTTGCAGACTTTTTTTTTTTTCAAATTCAAAGGGAGTCTCAGTGAAGGGTAGGGGAGAACAACATTAGCAGCAGCATAATTTCTCCACCGCGAGAGAATCAGAAGTAGCTGTAATTATTGGCAAGTATTTTCAATAGCCGGAAAACTGGCAGCTGCCTAATTCCTTCCAGTAGGGCAATGAATATTAAAATAAAAAAAGCACAACAAATAAACCAACAAACCTGTAACCAGCAATTGTACCAATAACAAAGCTGCTACTCCTCCCGTGTCCCCAGTGCTGGATGAACTGGGATTTGCTAACTTGGGATTTGCACAGGTGTGACAGATACGCTTGACTCCTAGCCGTACTTTGGTTCAGGCTGACTAAGAAGTAACAGGCCTCGCATTCTTGGTGTGAACTGACAAACTGGAAAGCCCCTGGGTCACATACAGGGGAGTGAAGGTGTCTTGAAAAATATTCCAAAAGGTGGTTCGAAACCCAAAGTGCAAGATAAGCACAGAAAGCACAGAACAAATACCAGAGCTAAAACGAAGACATCTGTCTTGTCTATACTAGTGACTAGCAGCCAACTACTTCGCCCTATAAATCAGGATGGGCTCAGTTTGAGCTCTCCCTGAACGGCAGCTGGACTGCATGCCAGGTGACTCTCACCTTTAGCATGCACTCCTCTCAAGGTTACAGATTCCCTACCTGAGACTAAGAGATCCCTCATTACCCAAGGCAAAGACATTCCTTACCTGCGACCGATCCTCAGTACGTGATTGATAGCATGCTGAATTAACACTATGAAACATTACTAATCCATGCAGCGACTCAGTATTACTATAAACATTGTATGGATAATTCCATGAGACATAAACCGTTGACCAAGTCTGAGACTAAAATTGGATCCAGTTGCACATAGGCTCCAAAAGGAGTTTAGAAAGCAAGGGGGTCCACTCTGAACCTTGCGACTCAACAGGAGAGTTCTCCTTACTCTTTGCATCTCCGGTCTCTGTGTGAATCATTCTAACTCAATTTTCCCTTGTACATTCCTTCCATGCAGCAGTTACCAAGGTGAACCTTGCCATCAAACTTACTGAACCTTGTCAAACCACTGTTAACTTTTGTTAAATTCCATGAAACCTACTGAACTCTGTCAAATTATTATTTTACCTCAATACAACATATTGCTGCTTCTGTCTTTTTAAGTAAGGTGCGTTCCACCCATCCGTGACAATAGGCAGATAAATGAAGAAAGTGCAAATATTTTAAAGAAGTTTAAAAAGCATTCTCCCAGATTAAATGACTCCTATGTTCACATTTCCCCTCTACTCCGCTCTGGTGAGACCCCACCTGGAGTACTGTGTTGAGCTTTGGAGCCCTCAGCACAGCAAAGACATGGATCTGTTGGAGCAGGCCACAAAAATGATCCGAGGGCTGGAGCACCTCTCCTATGAGGACAGGCTAAGAGTGTTGGGGTTGTTCAGCCTGGAGAAGAGAAGCCTCTGGGGAGACCTTATTGCTGCCTTTCAATACTTAAAGGAGGCTTATAAGAAAGATGCGGACAGACTTTTTAATAGGGCCTGTTGCAATAGGACAAGGGGTAATGGTTTTAAACTAACAGAGGGTAGATTTAGACAAGACACAAGGAAGAAAGTTTTTACAGTGAGAAAGTAACTGGCACAGGTTACCCAGAGAGGTGGTAGATGCCCCACATCCCTGGAAACATTTAAGGTCAGGTTGGACAGGGCTCTGAGCAACCTGATCTAGCTGAAGATGTCTCTGCTCATGGCAGGGGTGTTGGACTAGATGACCTTTAAAAGGTTCCTTCCAACACAAACCATTCTGATTCTATGATTTCCAACTTATATACCATGGTTTTCATCACCAAAGCTGGTCAAAAAAGGTCCAATACCTTGCCTGAAGCTTCCCCACCACCAATGAAACCACAACTGCATCTAGCAATTTACCAATCCAGAACTAACTTAAATCATTGAAATGTGATATGGTTTACACACATTTAAAAGAGTATTGAAGCTGGTGAGAACATTGCAAAGGCCACGCTTAAGACAGTAAAGTGACAATGCAACCTTAGACATGGAGCCCCTCTCAATATGTCCATACTAGTTTGCAAGCTCACTGCATCCAGACAAAAGCCCATATTGAAATGCACCCATTCCCCAAGCTCTCCAACCCACCCCTCCAGCTTCTTAGAGCCAACACACTGCACCTATTGCAAGTCGTCCACCACCTCCACTCTGGAGGAAGAACTGGATCTACTGACATCAAGAAAAAAACCCAAAACCCTTATAGCAGAAGACATTGTCTAATCAGCTATCGCGCGACATCCATTATTCCCACTGTGTCCTCCTCAGTGACGAACAGTTCCATGTGTTTTCTCACAAACTGGCCTTTCTTGACTAAAGCTATCCCCTAGCTATTACCTGTGGCGATAACCTCCCTGGAAATGCATCTGCGCGTGAGCATCAGAGGATGCATTTGAACACTGGGACAAGTTTTCTTCAAATTATAATTAGTCTCCTTAAAGACAGCAGGCCTGATGGAAGTGGCTTTAGCTCACCCGCTGGACTTCCTGTCAGACAGTGCTGCAGATAGCAGTAGTTACCTTCGCCTGATAGGTCTGCTCAAGCTCCATTTTATACAGTTTGACTTGTTCATCATGTTGATTGCGCAGATCCTCCAGAGCCTGAGTCATTTTGGATTCATACTCCTGTTGGCGACTAGTGTCCACCTCAACCAAACGATGTTCATGTCGTTTTCTTGTTTCCCTTATTTCCTACATACACACAAAGAAAAGGGGACAAATTCCCACATTAGGGTAAACAGAACAAGCAATCACATTCAGACATCAATTAACTAGTTTCAGTACTAATTATTTAGTATATAGGAACTACAGTACTAAAGGTATTTAAGCCTAAGAATTGCTGCATGTACTAACAGATGCAAGGTACTGGTCTCATTTGGCAGGATCTAATTCTTAAAAGTGATCTGACTTAAAAAACAGGTTTAAAAATATCCATATACAATTTAAATAAAGAGCTGTTTTATGCTACAAAAGTCAAAACAGGAGGAAGGAGGGAGAAGAAAACATGAATTTTTACATAGCAAAGAGAGATTCCATGTGCTGCACTACAAACCCTTTCTGTCCCAATATACATCCCTACATTACAATAGCAGTCTACGAGGAGTCAGATAAAAATTAACCACTTTTGTGACCGTTACATATATTGAAAAAACATCATTATAGAGGAAAAACGGCATCTTCAAATTTCACTTTTAAGCATATGCAGATCTCTCTTTTTCTATATACTGGGTGACCTCTGCTCATTAGATTTTGATTATGTTAGTAATAAAGCAGCAACCCAAGCAATCCTGAAGACATAAACAGAAATTTCTAGTGAGCATTTGTACTAAGAAATTTTCATTCTTAGAGAAGTACGAGTTCTCTGTGCCTAGAACACTGGTCCCAAATGAGTGAGGTAAGATTGACTCATGCATTTATTCATGTTGAGCCTTGCAAGGGCCTGGCCAGGCCTGAATGCATGGCATGAGAAAGGAACAATTTCTCCCTTCAGGGTAGGGCAAACAACAAGGGAGTGGTGAAGGTAGGAGCACGGCCATGAGGAACAGCAGGTGAATGAAGCAAGGCTCACTTTACATGCCTAAACTGGAGTCACAGCAGACTAACGCAAATTCAGAGTGACTTTACCAGTCGTTTTGCAGAAATGCTCTACATCTGAAAAACAGACTCTCAGAAACACGCCCTTCTACTCACAGCAATGTGGCCTGATGTGATCTGGAAGCTTTCCCTTCCATGGTGAATTTTTACACCATGAAAACTAGCAAGCAGCAGTCTCTCAGCAACTGCAGGCAATGACCCTTCAAAGGCCACAAAAATACCATGGGGTCTACAAAGTATCAGGTGAAGCGCTGAGTGGATCTAGTAGTTCAACCCCACTAGAGTAAGCAGGCTTCATGTGCCATGCTCCCAGTCACGATGTTCTAACTCTAATGGGGCTCTGGACCCTTCACTGAACCAAATGAACTCACTAACCTAAAGGAAAGCAATTCCTTTTTTTCCTTTGTGGGTTGAATTGGTCCATACAAGGATCAAAGAACTCCAGGGATGGCTAAAGGAACACCTCCACTTCAGCACAGCAAACTTTAAGATTAGTTTCTGCTGTCTCACTTAGCTTCACCTTTAGTCAGCAGCAACACAATTCTCCTCAAGAACCAAAGTTATTTTAAGGCCCTAAAACCAAGCAAGGGTCTCTCATTGCAGTGGTGTGCAGCAATCCAGCTACTCTAGGGCATGGAAGCGAGACAATGGTCAGTACAACTCAGGGTGATCTACCTGGTTGGCGTCTTTGCCCTGCTCCAGCCCCTGTCCTTAGCCACATAGCCCTGCCCTACCCCTTAATCCAGTCGAGTCACTCACTAGATTCTGTGGTAAGACATAACTCATCCACTAAGCTGGCAAAAATTAAACTCAACCAACACACCCTAAATATTTTACTAGTTAATCAGGCTGAAATGGTTTGGTGCATGGCAAGCCAAATATCCCAACTAGCATAGGTGAGATGAACAGCAGAAGGCAAGTGGCAATTGCTCAGCAGCCGCTAACTGAATGAGCTTGCAGAAGACCCAAAGGTCACAGCTGGTTTCCACAAGATGGAATAAAATGACATGACACCTCGCATCTGGTACAGAGAGAAGGTCATGCTTCCCTTTCCCAACCCCAACCTGTACATTCCCACTATTTACTTTATAAAAACTCTGGTCCTCACTAGAACCATTATGAGCAAACTCAACTCATTAAGCAAGCAGAAGACTACCCCTGCAAAAAGCAGGGTAATCGCATACTGTTCTCATCAGTGAAAACAGGTTATAGTCAGGTCTAACAACCACTAAAGTTGGTGCAAGTAAGGAGCATGGCAATGCAACCAGGTCCACAGAGAGGGAACAAGACTCTCCCTTTCCCACAGGGGTCAGCTGCTGCATTAGCTCACCTGCCCATGCTTGTCACTTGGCTCTCACACCAGCTACCCCACTGATTTATCATGTAACTCTTGCAAAACCTTTAACTATTTTATTAGTCAATCCATTTATAGCAAGGATAATACTGAGTTTTCCCTACCTGTACTAGTTAGTAATTGCTTATAGTCAGTTTGAATAAGAGCTACATGAACTCCAGACTATGATGAGATTACTAGGTTGACAATACCTCCTCAAACACATTCTTCCTGAAATCCAGGTCCTCTTGCAAGCTCTGGCACCGATTCTCCAAGTCCACACGCATGAGTGTCTCCTTCTCCAACTGCTTCTTAGCCACAGCATGACCATCTTCAGCCTAGTAAAGAATTTTAAAGATGAAGCTTTAATTTTGTCTGGATCCCTATCTTCCATCTATAATCCCTTTACGGTCTTCATTTGACATCTTTGGACCAATTATTCACAACAAATCTAATGTTAAGCCACTGATTTTCCTAAACAAACAAACAAAACCAAAAAAAAAAAACCCCAGAAAACACCCAAAAAAGTTTGTGTGTACTTCTGAATATTTAAAACAAGCTTTCGTGTTTGTATACCAGTTATTTAAAGCACAGATTTAATTCAGTACAGTATGATAATGGAAGTGAGGATTATTAATTCCTCAAGCACAGTATGTTGCATGTTCTTTTTCCTGCTAGCATAGTCCCACTAGGTACTCCAGCATAAGTTTAACATTATGCAGGACCTTACAAAGGACAACATTTAATAGCCTGATGTCTCATGAATATAGAAACACTTATTAAAATTTTTTAAATAAAAGCTGTTGACTAGCAAAATTTCTAAAACATCATGTTGCTTTACAGAGATTTCTTGCAATTCAGTTTTATATCCAAGTTGCAGTAAGTGAGCTGGATCAATGATGTTCAGACTACAAACTAAGTGCAAAGAAAAATAACAAATTTTACAATACACAAGCCTCTCCTGTGTTAAAGCAAGGAAGCATCCACTGCCCTGTCATACCTTAGCAAGTTGGGCACGCAAATCGGCAACCTCTGCCTCCAGACTGCGTTTCTCATTCAGGACAGTATTGAGTTCTGCTTCACTTCTATGGAACAGCACTTCAAGATCCTTAATGCGACCCTGAGCCACAGACAAATCTGCATCTTTCTTCTTGTAGCTGAAAAAACAAAGGTTAATTATATTTATACATGGGTGCACACACATCTTGGGCATGTCTTGGTTACAACTACAGATATTTTGTTATTATACACATTTTATTAAGATTAGTGTACCACTAGGTGGCTCCTAGAGTAGCCTGCAAATGCAGCTAATAAAAGTAATCATAAACACCTCTTAAAACTCACAGCTTGTACAAATGTGTTGTAAATGCATTGTCTAGTATGGCATGGACAGGCAAGGGAAAAACAAGAAGGCAACTCTGACAGCTAAGAGATGACAAAGCTGTTTTACACACAAGGCGTAAAGAGTGTTTTTTCATCTCACTGCCACACAGCACATTTAATTGCTGACATCTATCACTTTGGACTACAGCCCCTGAGAAGCAGAGCACATGCATCTTGCAAAGTGGTCCATGAGCATGTTCAGTGTTTTGGACTTGATGTGGCCAAGCCCATTCCATAGGATGTATTCCCACACAAAGTAGTAAAGTAATCCACTATGGAAATGCGGTCACCTTTCAGGAATAAACCAGTATTTCTTCAGCAGTATTCATTATGAGCAAAGCAACTCTGGTCACTTTAAATATGATTATTTGAGCTGCTATATTCAACTTGCAGAAATCATCAAGATCATCTTCTTCCTGCCCACCAAGTATTCATCTACCTTTTCTTCTAACATACTGACTTTCTGCAGCTTCTCTAGGTGTGTGTCATTATGTTATTAAACTCTTTTGTTATGTGAAGTAATCTTTCCTCGATGCAGTTTAAGCTCATTATTCTAGTCTCACTAAGAATACAGGGAATGGCTTTTTGTCTTCTTCTCTTATGCCGTCTTAGAAGTCATTTTTCTCCTTCCCTTTCCTCAAACTTCTCTTCTATAGATCTGTAATTTTCAGCCTGTCGTCAGTGAGCTGCTTTTAAGGGCCCACAGAAATAACTTTGCAGAGGAGTCCTACTACCTATAGGCTTTAAAAAGCTCTGTATTTGGTCTGCAACCCAAATACGGAAAAAACATTATATTTGCAAAGGAAAAAAAAGCTGAAAACCACTGCTCTAGATTATTAAAACCTTGCTCCCCAGCCCAAATCCCAAGTCTTGGTTCCCAAACTCCTGATCACTTGTACTGTGTTCTTCAATTTCTGATTTGCTTATAACTCTAACAAAATGCAATGCCCAAAATTATTTTAGAAAATCCTACTTTATGGGGTATTGGTGTGCCCTACAGACAGTATTTCTTTACATGCTTCAGCACAATGCGCATCTTTTTCTAACTACAGAAAAAGTCAATATGCTTATTTTGTGATACACTCTAGCTACGAGGCTCATCTGTTTTCTTCTGCATTCCTTGGTGTAGATCTCTGAATTTGCTTTCATTTAACTGTAACCATTTTTTCTTAATCATTGGTCCAATCTGTCATTGTGAATCCTGTTCTGCAACATATGCACAGAGTCTTCAAGCTCAGCAGCTTGCAGGAGACATACAGACAAAACTTAACTTCTACTTAAAAAGACAGTTATTTAGCAGCCAACGAGAAAGTCTTCAGAATAAGACTCTCCAGACACATACCCCTGCATCACGTGTCATGTAGTAAAACAAGCCACTGTGCATGTGTTGCAGACAATCAGATCTGGAAATCACCTGTCTGTGCAGTACCTAAAGGGCAAGTGCCCCTTCACACAAGACTATGGACAGCAGTGTAAGCATACACAGCCCACAGCTTCCTCCAACCCGCAGAAGCCAGGCAGCATGCAAGTATTCCCAGGGGGACGGGAATGAACAGAAGTGTTTAATGTACAGCTTGACAAAGCAGCATAAAGAATTCCTGACAGCAATAAGTAACTTCTGCTCCTTCATGAACACTGACACTGGAAGACACTCCAAGCTGCTTTCATTTACAATTTTATTTGCATTTATAATTTCAGCGTGGTTTATTGTCTTCATGCAAAAAAATTGACAGAAGGTTTTACAAAGGTGCAACCTGCTTTTGGGGGTCTCCGAGATGCCAGGAAGTTACAAACAGCAGTTGATGTGTCTGTTGAGATGTGCCAATGTTCTTTGAAGGATGCCAGGTTAGGGTAACCCTCTAGAGCTCTTTTTTCCAGAAAGCAGCCAAATTTGCTCAAAGGAGCAATTGATCATTGATTGTAACTTGACTGCTGATCAAAGAACATGGTAAAGAACGATGATAAATATCTGTATTGCAAATAACACCAAAACCCCCCTCAAACCCCCACAAAAAACACCTACAACACAAAAACATTTTAAAAACACAGGCAGTTTTATGGCAACAATGAAGGCAATGATTGGAAAATTAAGATATTTTCCCAGAAGACCTCCCTCACAGGAAACCCTTTTAAATTAAGATAAGACTTGAATGCTTCAACTTAATCCCTGGGATATCTGCAACATCCACGTTGTACTGGCACATATGACACAAAAAGAACCTGTAGGAGGTTCATACCATAGCAGAGGATAATCGACAATATCTACAGTGCAAAAGACATTGATGTTCAGGCACCTGAATCCCACCTTTAATGTCAGAAAATCATATATCCCATTATACATGCGCAAACTGAATTTAAGTGTGTACGGATGCTAACATCTTAAGCAAGAACTCCTCCCTGTCTTCTGCAGATGAATCTCTAATTTGGAACCAAAAGTAGTTTCACTCTATGACAAAGCTCCTTCTAAAGAAATTACAGTTGAACATGACTTAAGCTAGACTTGAAGGGGGAGGGGGATAAGATCAGGCTTGCCCATGACAAGCTGCGGGACAATATGCCAAGGTTAGAGGGACAGGTTGCCAGCAAGGCCCCTCACCCTGTTGCTCTGAGATGTACTGGGTACACTGGAGCACACCGGAGGTCTTACGGAGATAAGCCAGGGGCTCCTGAGATAACAGGAGCCAACAGGGAAACACTGGTAAAATACCTGAAAGGAATTAAAGCGTGTTCCTCTAAGAAGGTGACACGGCCAACAGCCCAGACACAGTATCTACACCAATGCACATAGCATGGGCAACAAACAGGAGGAATCAGAAGCCGCCATGCTGCTAGAAAGCTGCAATCTAGTTGCCATTACTGAAAACTGGTGGGATGAATCCCACAACTGGAGTGTAGGGATATCAATGGCTACAGGCTGTTCAGAAGGGACAGGTGAGGAAGGAGGTGTGGAGGGCCTGCCTTCTACATCAAAAGATGGATATATTGTGAAGAGCTGTCTCTGAAGAATAGCCACAAGCAGGCTGAAAGCTCACGGGTAAGAATTAGAGACCAAGGCAACAAGGGAACTTTGTGGTTGGTGTTTACTACAGGCTGCCTGATCAAGGGGAGCCTAGTGATGAAGCCTTCTTACTCCAGCCACAGGAGGCAGCTACTAAGAGCAGGGTAAGCCTCAGGCTCCTTTGGACACAAACTAGGCCTGATGTCACCACACCCAACCACATCTTGTGGCCTCCCTGGAGCATCCTCAGTGCCTTTGGGGTTTTCCACGTTCACAAACCCAGGCTTTACTGGGAAAAAGAAAGGGTAAGTCAGCTCTTGAAGCAGTAGCTAGGCTATATTTGGATCCTTAGCTAGAAAAGCCCTGCAAGCCTGTGGTTCAGGCCTAAAATTCAATTCAGTCTAATGTTGAGGAAACATTTTCCAGATAGCCTTTCAAGCTAGTGTTTTCTCTACTCTGCCTACTTCAGCTATCCCTTTTCTTCTCCGTCTCTCACAGGAGAGACCAAAGGATCGATGTCCCAAGACGGAAGTCTATTATCTCCTCTCCCAACAACCTAACCTACCTGAAGCAAACAATGAAGTGGTAATGTCTGGGATCCCTCCTGGTCAGACTATGCTTGCATCCTTAAGCCTCTCCTCTGTCATGGGCTTGAAAGAGAGACTGAGGTAATCGTAGTGAACAAAAATTACACACTAACCTACTCTTCCACTATACACAGTTCTCAAAGCACTGAAGCAAGCTTGGAATGTGAGAATGACATAAGACTGTCAGGATGGGCAGGGAGGACCTCAGTCATGAGCTAGGTGTCAAGTGGACACTGTGCAAACCAGGCAAACAGACTTTTAACAGCTGTGTTCACAAGAATCACATTTAAAATCTGGCCATGTCACAAGCATAACTTTCCACATGACATACTTAGAGCGTTCTCAGGGTGCCTACATTACAAGCAACTCAAGGGACTAGAAGCAACCTGGTAGAAGAAACTTTCAAGCCAAGGAAGAATTCAATTCTACTCCTATGAACTGTAAGAACAGAAAGAAAACCAGAAAACCAGGTGTATTTTCCTCATATTTAGTCTATCTCAGAAAACCAAAAAATATGTTTGAAATTAGGCTGGTAGAATTAACCAGCCATTAAAGTGACTGGTAAGGGGCAACTCAATTGTCCAAACAAAGGGCAAGGGAGGTGATCCAATGGAAAATACTATCTTTATCACTTTAAGTGCACAACATTCTACAACAAGGTATTTGTAGAATCTCTTAGTGCTATAAAAAGCCCAAAGAACCAGAATCAATTAGCACTGATTCTCATTAGTTGCCAAGTGAAGATACTTCTGACAAGGATGCCTTAATCAAAATATAGAAATAAGCATCTTGCAAAACAGGAGATATGAACCAAATTCCCAGTTACGGCTGCTGCTCTCTTTTGGAGCTTGCTTTAAAAGCCAAGCAAGTGGAGTATTTGCTACCACCGAAACAATAAATACAACGTCGATGGCCATGTAACATCGACTGCCACGCAAAACATTTTATCCGAAATAAACGCCAAGACTGCTGGCCTAAGGCTTTAAGAAGGAAATCAGTCCCAACAGGAACATCACAATAGGGCTAAGTGGTATTCATCTCACTTAGCTTTAGGACTTTACATCTGACCTAATTACTATAGGGTTGTTTTTTTTTTTTTAATGGTTAACAAAGGCCTAGCTAACAGAGTCTGTAAGTTTGAGCACACGGGTGGTCTGACCACATGCAGGTATATCTCCTGGTATGAACT